TGGAAAAGTCTGTAACCAAAAAAAAAAAAAGCATAGCGAAAAAAGAGTCTCGTACAAATGCGTATGACAGTTTGAAGATACTGCTGCAGAGACTTCTGAATAATGCCCCCCGCACAGTTTGTAGTTGAAAGGGCGTTAGTTGAGTAGGCGTGGCACAACAGCAGCCACAGAACAAAGCAAAAAATAAACCTAATGAAGAGAAACTCCAGCCGAAAGCCTCAAATCCGAATCAAAATCTATGTGCAATTCAATTAAAGAACAATTTCCAGGCAGTCATCATATTTTTGTTAGTTAACGATCCCCCAAGGGGGCAGCGACGGGGGTACTTATGGGGGAAATCTAAGGAAAAAAGTGAGCGAAAATGCTAGGGATGGGGGGGGATGGGAAACTTAATAAGACCCATCAGCAGTGGGTGGAAATGGAAATCGCTTGAGGAAATTGTGTGTTTTAAGCAAAAGCATACATAATAAACTCGTATAAAAGATTGTTGCATGCTTTGGGGAACTGCCAGTGGGAAAATGAGGGGGTAAATTAATGCTGTGGATGGCAGGCGGAGAGGGAGCGGCAAGTGCTTGGGGCAGCGGCATAAATACCCATATTTGCAATGTGCAGGAAGCAAGCATCAGCAGCCGCAGAAGAAAGAAGAGCAGCCCAGGATAGAATGGCGACAGCAACAGAGGGAGACAGAGAGAGAGAGAGCACAAGACAGGACAGAACGCTATGTCCCCAGGCGTTGGACAAAATAAAAAAAAAAAACTCAACGACGAATGTTATTAAAAAAGAAAGCAAATGAAAAACCAAGCGAAAACAGGGGGAAAACAGTGTAAAACAAGAGAGAATGCTATCAAAAGAAAAACTCAACGGGAAAGTACCCTGTAGAACTGGGAACTGTACAATTAAGTGGAATAAAATTCTTATATGCAGCAATTTATCCTCTTAAATGAGAAATATCCTTAAGCTTTAGATTTTAATACATAGTACGAAAAGTGTTTCAAAAGATACAAAATATTTAAATTGACCCTTCTGATTTTCGTTCCCTTATATATTACCTACATTTCCACAAATCCAACACGCCCCAACCTCCACTCTGTTAATTACAGGGTATAAACAGCATCGGGTCCTTTTTTCCCACCCATCTTCCACTTCCTCTGCTGCTGCTGCTGCTGCTGCTGCTGCTACTAAAAAGTCATAAAATTTATTAAATGCCTAAAAGTATGACAGCTATAGACAATTTATGGTAGGAGAAGGGGTCTGGAGAGGGGCAAGAAAAAAAGAAAACACCCAAAAGAAAAACTAAGAAAATGAAAATGAAACAATTTTTTCTATCCTGCAGTCTTCATCCCACTCTGCAAGATGCTCGCTCTATGGAGGCATAGTCCTCTGAATTTTAATGATTTTTTGGTGTAAAGTCAACCATGAAAATGTAAATATTTATCAAGCAGCATATTAATACGCAGCTTTTGGATGTTCGGGAAAATTAGCAGGGGGGAAATGTATTAATATTAATATTTATGAGTGCCAGGAATGGTGAATTTTTGTGGGTGACTTTGAAGAATTTTGTGAGGAACTAAATTGAGGTTAATATTTGTTGGAACATTTTTAGTTATTTTGGTGGGACTTTTAATCAAGTAAAGCCTCAATATCGTTCCTATCTTATGCCTTCCTTGATTTACACTATTTTCCCAGCCCACAGGAGTAATTTCCAAATGAAAATACCTTTCCAAAACAATGACTTGTTTCTACATTAATAAAATGGTTACGACAAAACATCTGCATATTTATAAGCCCTGGCCCCTTGCATAAAATGTACACTAATTTAAATTTACTTTCCACCAAAGCGCGACAATTTTCTAGCCTGCAGACCAAAAGCTTATTTTCCAACTTCATAAATTTTACGCACAAATAAACAGAGGAAAATATAGAGCTAGGAACCTCGCCTGGCAGTTATTTTTCTCATTCTGGGTGTCCTTCGCCTGTAAGGATGTAAGGATCTATCCATATGGTCACGCTTCTTGCTCATAAATTAGCACCAAATGGACGCCTCTTCCTTTTCAATTGTGCAGCTGCTAGTCCTGGTGGACGACATTTGTAAGGATTTAGCAGGTGCACGTGAAAAGCTATTTACATAAATGGCTTTAGAGAAGAAACATTGAACTTTTGCTCAGGTTTTTAATTACGGAAAAACGGAGCAAAAGACACGACACACAACGACACACAACGACACAACAACGACAGCACAGGACAGGAAATTTTCCAAACGCTAATCCGCTAAGGCGTACAAAAAAAATGGCATACAATCAATTCTCAAGTAGCAGAAAAAGCGCGAGTGGGCGGAGGTTGGAAAACAATTTTCCTTGCATGGTCGCAATTTTCCACTACATCGGATTAAAATGTGATATGTTTTGGGATTGTTTAACAGCAGAAAACGGAGCAGAAAAGCGAGTGGGGGAGGTATGAGAGCAGAGTGGTAGAGAGGTAGGGTGATTGGTAGTGAACAAAGAGGGCTTTAGAGAGGGGTGGCAGGGGAGCAACAGAGAGGACTGTGTGTGTGTGTGTGTGTGGGTGCGACCAAAAGAGACAGAAAGTGAGACATGTCGAGACATGTGTTTGTTTACGGAACTTTTTGGCAGCAGCAGCAGCAGCAGCAGCTCTGTTCTGCCAGTGCCCTGCCCCCGTCTCTGGAGTGGGTCTTAATTTCCGCTTCGCAAGCATTTCTTTTTCACACAAGCACACGCATACATATACAGCGCAGCAGCTTCTTCCTTCCTTCTGTGTCTTTCGTTTTCTCTTCCCTGTTCCTTTTTCTTTCTTTCTTTTTGTGTGTTGGTAACATTTTTGTTTATTTGGGATTTGTTTGCCCTCGTTTTTTTTTTTTTTGCTCTCTGTCCTTTACATGCTTGCTTGAGTACTTCCGGTTTGAATGCCGGAAGTATGAACGAGAGCGAGCCCCCCACTGGTACTCCAATGCACACACGTGTGTGTGGGTGGCTGCAACGGGAACGGGGAGAGGAGCAATGCGAGTGCGAGTGCGAATGCGAATGAGGAGACTTTAATTGTTACGAGTGGAAAATTGAGTTGTACTTCGGAAATCCCCTTGCAATGAAGGGACCCCGGCAGTAAGGCAGTACGTTTCATTGATTTAAGGCTGATGGAATATCGATTGATCTATGGTTCGATTCTATATCTAATGAACACTAGCAAACAAATTAATTAAATTATATGGGTATCTGTGCCATGCAAATTTATTTAACCAATAAATTATTAAATTATAAATATCTTCAATGGAATAAACGATACAAAACTTTGTAGATCAATTTGTTTATCGATCAGTTTTTGATTTCTTTAGGTACAATTATTATCGAAAGTTAAATAAAGGAAAAATCAAATCACCGACTAATGCAAATTATACGATATTCACATTTAATTATTTATTGCCCAAAACTAAGGCTTCGAAGGGCATTCAAGTAGGCTTTAAAGCCTGCTTCAATGTAGCGCAATAATTTCCCTAACAACTACATTTATTCAATTATAATTCCTTCGGCCACACACACTGTGAACTCCCTGACTTTGTAGATCTATAAATGGTATCAAATCTATACCCAAAAAATGGTCTTCAATGTGCGCCAGGATGCATGGTGGCACAAACAGTATGTTTATCCAAACTGTTAGCAGATTTTGATGCTTCAACACACGTCCATGAAAGTTTTGCCTTACCAAAAATGAGACAAACACACGTTTTATTTCTGTGTGCACTTCCGTACATCTACTGGCACTTCTACTCGTATTTGTGCCTCGTATTTGCCACACACACACACACACACACACACACACACACACACACACACACACACACAGCATTTGCCGCATAAGGAAATAAAATTCTCATAGCAAAAATGGAATAAAATTTCGTGTGAATTGGAGTGAAAGCGGGGCACTTGCAGTTGGATATGTCCTGGCCCAAAGGATGTGTGCGTGTGTGCAAAGGAAATACTCGTCGCATTTGTGGATTCGATTGATTGGAATAAAAAGCAGAAATCGATGCAATTTTTATTCGAGGCAACTGTTTTATTAGTCATATTTCAGAGTAGAAAATAGCAATTTATGTAATTTAAACTTTCAATACTGTCAGAGTAGAAAATGGCAATTTATGTAATTTAAACTTGAAATCGTGTAAATTTGATTATTCGTAGCGGAAGCAATGTAATCCTTGGAAACGGAATCCGCCCAAAGCGTATGGTAATCCTGGAAATTAGCCATTGATGGCTACGAAGAGGATTCATTTAGGGATCTATGCTATGTTTTTTGGGGTGTACTTATTAGAAACATTAAAAATATCCACCCCTGCCACAGTCGACCCTCCTCAATGTCGTACAAATTAACATACTCCCTATATCTACTCTAAGTATACACATATCCTCATTATGGCACATCATCCAATCTAATTTTAGGCCCATTCCATTCCCATTCCCTCAATAACATTTTCGGTGGGGGGGGAGGGGCGTATGTGGGATTTTATCCAACTGATTTTTATGGCACAACAAAAAAGGAAACGAAAGCCGACTAAAAGCGCAATAATCAGGCCAAGGCACGCACGCACACACCAACCAGGAGGAGCCGGCTCCATCCAAAAAGGGGGAGCACGAGTAGGACTTCCTTAAAGCGTTACATTTTGTCGTAAGCCAAAAAGACGACAACGACATTACGTTTTATTATCTATTATATGGAGGCGCCTGAAAATGGCACTACATTAGCCTCAAAAATCCATAATACACACATGATACAAGCAGGGAGGGGGGCATGCCCCATTCGTTGGCATAAAGTAAACATTAAAACAGGAAACGGAAGTCATGGCAGTGGCCAAAAACAGCCACATAGCCGACATTCCATAAACAGGAGGGGGTTATGATTATTTCAATGGAGGGTTTTTCTCGTGGTATTTTCTTTGGTTTTTCTGGTTTTCTGGTTTTCTGATTTGCATTTCTCGTTACGTGTTTGCATACTTTTGGCACTGAGTGTGAGGGCTAATTTCCTATGCATAAAGTGTTGCATGTGTCGCGAATTTCTTGCCACATTTTCCACGTTTCTGCATAGCGGATTTCACATTACATTTTTGTTTCCTTTTCTTTTTGGTTTTCTTTATATTTTTCACTCTTTTTTTCTTATTTTTCTTTTCTTTATTTTTCACTCTTTTATGTATTTGTTTTACACAATTTTTTTAGATATTCTGGCGGCATAAAAAGTGCAAAGCATTTCTTTAAGGATAATCCACAGTTGATAAAGAATGTAATGCTACCTTTTAATTTTGTTTGTGGCCGCACAAATATTACGCGAAAAATATTCCATAGAAAAGCGAACGTAGGAAAACGCAGAGTCCTGCCGCAAGTCCATCCGCGCGCCACCAAAGACCAACAAGCACTGACACAGGACCTTCGAGCAGAGAAAAGCCTGAAAGCCAGAAAAAGCAGCCGCAGCAGCAGAGTAGGGAAATTTCCTCACTGGAAAAGCCGGCTATTGGTATCCTTTTCCTCCCCCGCCAACGACAACGACAACTGCAATTGACCTTAGCCTTCGAGGATACGTCCGTGTTTCGTTTCGTTACGTTTCGTTACGTTTCGTTAGTCGTTTGTCGGCTTTTTGCCGGCTGTCCGTTCAGGGGTTGCGGAAGGGGCTCTTTCCCCTTTGGGGAAATTCTATTTTCCATTCGAAGGGGTGTGTTTTTAGCCTTGTGCTAGGTCCTTGCTCTGCTCTGTATTGTGTGATAGAATGCCGCCACAGGTTTAACAGGTTGATTAGTGACGTCATTGCCAGTTAGGGGAAGAAACTTGGCTGGGGAATCTGGGAAGTTTCTCAAAGTAGGAGAAATGGAATTTCATTCTGATGAAAAGGGGAAGTTTCACTGTGATGGACAAGGGCAGTTTTTTTAGCGAAGGAGATGAGAATTATCTGCAGAATTATGTGGAGAATTAGCTGGAGAATTATTCCTAGCAATCAGTGCCATCAAAGGATTTTATATTCAATCAAAATGGGACTATTTTTCGAAATTTTTCTTTGGAAAAATAACGAAAAAACGCTGTAAGCTTCACTTTAAAATTTGATTATTTTTACTTTATCCCACAACTCTCTTCCATGCTCTTTCTGCCAGCTCTCTTTTGTGTAAAACAGAACTGAAAGGAAGGCTTAAATAAGGGGTACTAACGCTTGGAAAACACACAAAAAAACAACGTGTCGCAGGTTTGGCCTTTACCTTGTTTTATCTATGAAACAGTTTTCAATTTTTCTTTCTTTATGTTTCGGGTTTTCCGGCTTTCCACTTTCGGGGTGCATTTATTTTTTTTTGTTTTGCCTTTTGCGCGGGAGGTTTTCCTATCTTTATTTTGCATAAATTTTCACTTTGTTTTTATCAATGTCTTTGGGTCCTGCCTTAATTCCTGGAGTGTTCTTTTTCCCCTCTCTGGCTCTACCCTCCCTCCGCGCTCTTTTCTTTAGGTCTTTTGTTTTGTTCCTCTTGCGCCTGAGATTTTTCTATTGAGATAATACTTTGTTTTCGCCTTGTTTTTTAATCCTTTTGCCCAATGACTGCGACAACGAAAGGACCCTTTTTTTCAGTCGCTGTGTGTGTCCTTTCCTATGTCCTGGTTGACTGCATACACGCGATGGTTACAGCACTACCGACGCGACGCAACGCAACGCAACGCAACGTTGGACATTTTATAGTTATTGCCTCCCCATCGGAAAATTCCCTAGATGGTTCTTCATTTTCTATCGCATTTATGTAGGTTTTTGCTTTATTTTCTCTTTGCCATGGAAATCGAGGGCTCTATTGTTTTATAGACACATGAGAGAGTGATATGTGTATAGAGAGAGATAGACATAGACCTAGAAAGGGAAATGAAATCAGGAGACGTCTATGGCGAAACAAAAGCAGTTGATGAAAGTCTTTCTGTGGCCTTTAATAAAGACTCTAATTTAATTGTGTGCTTTAAGAACTGTCCGCCAGGTATAGTAAATTCAATGACCAATATTAAGGAAATAGTACATATTTTCTTATATTTAAAGTTTTTGCATAATTTTTGAAAAGAGTACGATTTTATAGATTCCCAAACCCAACTTATTTCAAAACAGTTTAGTTCAAATATTCGTAGTAATATCAAATGAACTTGTACTTCTAAGGGAAATATAATTTCATGCAATAAAAAGAAATACATTTTCCCGCAGATTTTAGTCGAGTTTTCAACCCCGTATTTAATTTCGTTTGAGTTTTCCGGTATTTTTTCTTCTTCCCTCTGGTTTCTGGGATATTATAAAAAAAGGGAAATATATTTTCGGAGTAAAACGTTAATGGGAAACTTTATGCTGGGAGCCAAAATCCCTTAGCCTAGTCACACACTTTGGTAGCATGTCTTTGCTAAAAATGAAATCCTACAAATTTGAAAAGGAAAAATAAGTTTCGCGGGTGTTCTGGGATATTTTTCCTTATTTATACCAATTTAGCGGAGTTTCAGAGTATTAAATATAAGGATATTCTTAAATTATTTGGTTTCAGTTAAATTAGAAATTTAATTTCAAAATTTAAAAATATAATATTACCCAATTAAGCACAAATATTAAGTTTAAAGTTGTTCTATAAATAAATAACCATAAAGATAATGCAAATAGAGTATTACCCTTTAGTTGGGTTCAATATAAGTTTTATTGAATTATTTAATTAAATTATTTTTGCATTTTCTAGAGAAATAAAATAATGCCATTTGGTAGAAAAAAGCAGCTATTTAAAGCTTCATCCCATCAATTTCCATCAACACAAGAGCTCTTACAATGTGGATAAGCCGCCATTCAATCTCCACACCCACTCTGCAATGATTTCCATATCCAAATCCTGACAAATAACTGTCGACAGTCGGCAACAGTCTGTCAAACTGCCAATACTCGTATTCGCACCACACACACACACACACACACACACACACCCCTGAGAACAACCATAGAAATTGCCTTTTGTACGGTCTGTCAATAAAAATTGTGCACCGTATTTTGTTTGATTTTGTAACTTTTGAGCGTGCAATCAATTCCTACAATAAGCCAGGGACTACATCCAAGACATGGACAGTGGACACGGACATGGATCCAAGGACAAGGACAAGTGCCAACATTTGGAACAAACAATTAATCATTTCAATTTTCCAAACGACTTGACAATGAACACGGAGACGACGACGACGATGACGACGTTGAGACGACAAAACAATTTGTGGGATAGCTTCCAGAAACTACAAAAAGGAGCTTGTCCACGCCCACACAAAAAAATGGAGTTGCAGGGCCGTTCATAGAGCTAGAGGCAGTAAAGGAGTCCTGGAGCCAAGAGTCAAAGTGGCAGGAGTGGGCAAAAACAGGAGTCATGGGGCGCCAAGGAGACACTTTGCCACTTGCTGACTTCAGCAATAATTCTGCTCCTTCCATCCATCTTTCTGTCATTGAATTTGCATGTTACACAGGGAATTTGCTGAACAACAAGGAATTCATCTCTTTTTCCGATGAACATCAGCCAATTGAAGGAAATGGGCCAAATCCAAACAGCAATTGACTTGCAACTTAATAAAAAGAGAAGGAAGAACTAGTATACGATAATGTGTGTGAAAATTAATTATTTAGTTGGGCTGAGTACGAACTCGCCCGATAACTTTTTGGCCTAATTTCGTGGAATAATATGCCCTACGCTTGAGACATATGTACGTTTTAATCTACTTCTAGATTATTGAATCCATAAATCATTAAAATAATTCGTCTGGTTTTATTTCTTAATTGCGTATTTTCGCATTTCATTTTATTATCAGTTCCCAACGGAAGGAACGGAAGTATAAATACCTCTACGAAACTCTGCGAATGCCAGTTCTTTTTTAGATTCTATTCAGAGAAGTAGTACCAATGCGGTGTTCAATTGTTTTCATTTTATTGGCGATAACCTTTGGGCGATCTCTGTCCCAGCATTGTGAGGTGAGTGAAATATTCCGTTTACTGACTGCAAAAATCCCAAAAACATTGCGGTGCTCACCAATAGGTGGATGAATCCCAACACGAGTGCGGAGGCTACTGTTACGGAGCTGTGAAACCGGTCCTGGAGTACCTCGCCATCCTGCAAAAGCGAGTGGAGTCCTGTGAGGCCAAGCAGCCGGCTGACACACTCTCCAAAATCGCCCTAATGGACGAAAAGTTAGACACTTTGGCAGGACACATGGCAACCCAGCAGTATTTGGAAAAAAGATCAACGGCAAAAACTCATGAATTAGAGCAACAAGTGGCTGCCGTGCGGCAAGGAATGGGCGAAAAGATAGAGACTCTTGGAAAACAGATGGCGATCCAACAAGAGTTGGAAAGTAAATCAGGGGAACATGTTCATAAATTGGAGCTACAACTGGATGCCGTGCGGAAAGAGAGGGACGAAAAGTTAGACACTTTGCAGGCGATGGAAACGAGATTACAAGAAAAAGTTAAGAAATTGGAGCAAAAACTTAAGTTACCTAAAAATTTTTTCAAAAAAATTGGTTCGAAATACTATTATATAGAAAATACAAATGTTAGGGACTGGCAGGGTGCCCTCGATATCTGCCAAGAGATGGGAGCCCATTTGGTGAGTCTGCAAAACGAGGTTGAGTTGAAGGCACTCGATAGTATGCTGGATCCGATCAAAGGCTATTGGATAGATCTGAAAAAACTGGAAGCTAAAGGAGAGTTTATTTCGGCCACTACTGGTGTCAAGGGAACATTCTTTCATTGGTGGGAAAGGGAACCCAATGGTGAAAACTGTGATTGCGTCTCTTTATACCGCGGTAAGATGGGCACCTATCCATGCAGACTCTCAAAATACTTTATTTGTGAGGCATATTGGGTGGATTAACCACATGACAATTTGAATTAGATTATAAGTAGTGTGAAACGTAAAACTCAATAAAAAGAATAGAATATTTAACTGTGGGTGAAAATTGATTGTTTAGTTGGGCTGAAAATCCCGGCGGTACTGCAATACCGGGCCAACCCGCGACAGAGGTGGAGCAAGCCCCTAGCACTCCGTCTGATTCCAAAAATCAGTTTAACATTTGTTGTTCTCCAATGGAGAAACTATCAGATGTTAAGCTGATAAGAACAGATACTACACTTTGATCTTAGCCATAAGGCCGAGAAGCGATAACCTGAACGTGGAAATCATCCACCACCTGATGACTGTACGGCCAGAACCAGTTGGGAATTGCAAGACCATTGAAGTTGTGAAAGTGTGTAAGGTACAAGAAACAGTGGGCACTCGATTAATGAAAAATGGGCTTTTAGATATTTATCTTTATGGGAAATTTTGTATACTTTTTCACCTTTTTTCTATGGGTATCTTTTTCAAGAAAAATCAAACATTTGTAGCCAAAAATTTAGTTTAACTTAGAGAAAATGTATGCGAATATTATTCATTAAATTTATAATTATATCAGAGCTCTACTGGGCTTCTAATATAACTATATAAGACAAAGGTTAGGGGTAAAAAACATCAGTGCTTCTACAGCTCTTCTTTTAAGTTTCGGATAGATTGTATCTTCATATAATTAATAGAGTTTAATAGAGTTCGTCATTTGGCTTCTAAAGAAGTAATTCATCCACTGATCTCTCCCAAGTATAAAGATGTACCTCGACAATGCACTACCCTGTCTGACAGTTCAAATGTATTATTTATTGGCCCGGTCCGTAAAACGACACCAGGCACGAGGTAAAAATTATTTTAGACTCATTAGAGTGTTCTTCTCCACGGAAATCTTTAGTAAAAGGCGAAAGATTTATTCGACAATTGAAGAAAAACCAGAGTGAAGATTACCACATAAACCAGGGGATGTCTATTAAATTGTAGCTATAACTGCTTGGGAATTACTAGGCACAGTGGCACAGAGGCAGAAGCAGGACTTCTAACGTGTTTTTATGCGATAGGCAAAAGGAATATTTGAGGCTTAGCAGCTGCAAGACATGGTTATTGTTACCTGAATAAGATGCTGCTATCGAAGGAAGTATTGCGATGGCAATACGTAAAGAGATTGGATAAGAAATTATTCTAGAAAATTCAAGTAGTACCAAATTTTACATTTTGATTTTAATGTACATTTGTTCAGGTCTCAGACCCTAGCGACTCAAAAGTGAACGGTAGAAACCCAAGAAAACCATAAACAATTTTCCACAATAATCCAAAATAAATAAATAATATAATATTATATAATATTTCGCCTTCGGAATTCCCCAAGCCAATCCCTGAATAAATTGGCAAGTGAGGGGCAACCAAAATTTAATTGAATTATTTGTATCATTTTTTTTTTCCTGACATCCCACCAACAGCAGCATCTTCATCAATACAGAGGATTGTTTTGCATAAATAAAGCATAAATTAGGCCCCGGAAAAAGCCTCTTTGCAATCCCAGAAATCAGTGACAAAAAAAAAGGGAGGCTGAGCTGAACGTGAAGCATAAAAAATGAAATATGTTTTGGGGTTTGCTTCCCCTAGAGTTCATAAAAAAAAGGCACCAAACATCGGTTGACCGAAACGCTACGCATGAGAAAATCTCGATCTTACCTTTTTTTTCTAGGCGCATTTCCCATCGAAATAAATGGCATCCCGAAAAGGCAAAGAAAACTACTAACAAGGCAGTAAATTTTTGCATACAAGTTAAAGGTTTGGTTTTTCTTTCTGCCTTTCCGAACTATACAAAAAAAAAGAACAAGAGAGCGCAGGGAATCCTGGCTAAACGGGAAAACTTTCCAGTCACATAAACATAAATTGCGGCTGTAATTTTCAGTCGTTTGGGGGAGCACACACACATTGCCTCCACAAACAAACATTTGGTATGCTGTTCAGGGTGGAACCCTGCTCTCTCTCTCTCTCCCTCCTTCTGCTATTCCTGTCGTTAAATGGAAGTTTAACATTAAGTTTAATTTGTCTAATGCCCAGAACCTGATCCCTAACCCTTTTCCTCATTGATGGACTGGGCTGTGTGTGTTTTGGGGGGCCTAAGTGACATAGAAATTAATGCTTCAAGCAAACATACATTTCTGCCACTATCATCATCTAATTCTCAGACATTTGCTCTCCCAAAAGTCCCATTAGGCACATAATTTTGACCCCTAAAGTCCTTAAAGACTCATCATAAACCCTTAATTGCTCATTACAGAGATATAATCTTAATAGTTTTCTTAAGTCTCTACGTTTAAAATGTATTATTAAATGGCCCTCACGGGCTTGCAAAAATTGCCGTAGCGGACGGTATTTCACGTCCTCATGGCGGGGTATTGGTTAAAGTTTTCAACTAGCAATAATCGCACCTCAGTAGTACTTCATTGGTTACGATAATGCCTCTGCGCAAAGATAACTCTACACTGCCACTGGGTTGGTATTCAAGGCGGCGACGGATAGAACCAGTTGGGAATTCTAGGGTCAGCGGCAGAAAAAACGATGAAAAATGATTGCAGTCTTTTGTGACAGCCAATGGCAAAGGGATCCTACCTAAGGGTAGGGTTTTTTGTTTGCTGTTTCTGCGGCAGGGTGGTTTATAAGGTTATTGTTTTCTACAGGTCTAGGTAAAAGATCATTGTATAGCCCCTGTAAAATGTCTTCGATTTGCTTTTGGAAATTGATTTTCAATCAAACTTTAAAGACGCCAACTTCATGGCACCCACTAACCCATTATCATAATTCCTCCATAGTTACAATCCTTAGCCCACACGTTAGCCACACTTAACCCGCAGTTTGCGCCCATTTTCAAGCAGCCTCATTATCCTTAATAATTGTCAATTTTCTTGCAGCCGCTTTATATCGCCATTTGTTGTCGCTTTGCCTCGTCGCTATTCGCAATGAAATTAATGAAAAATTCAGGGGTCTACAAGCAACAAGAGGACAGACCCCCCGTGGGGTGGAGAGGGCAGTGGAGTGGAGAGTGGGGTTCAGGGTTCAGCTGTAGGTCCCTTCGTTGGCTGTCTTGGGGTCATGTTTCTTCGCCTACTCTAAAATGCTAAATAGCCACTTTTGCGGCAGGGCACGACAAACTTTCTTCTTTTTCCTTGAGTTCTTTTTTTTATGTAGACTTTTACTCTTTTCGAGGGTATTATGATTGGTAGCAGAGGTTTGGCAATGCAAAAATAGTAGTATAGAATACTTTTTATACTCCCTAATACAATATTTATTTTGCATCTATCAAAGCAAAACATGTTTTAAGGGCATATTTTATAGCAGAGTGTTTTATATATTGGATGGAAGCATAATTAGTAGGCAAAAAATCGGGTATATTTTCGGTTTCGAAAGAATAGTAAACAAAAAATATATTCTTATATGTATTTGCAAATTATATACATAAGTACCATTGAAATAGGTAAAATTGATGGGCTATAGCCTTGGCTACCATATAAAATACACAACTTTCAGTGTATGTAAAACCTCGTTCGGTTCTGGCTTTAATTTGTCTGCTTTCTTGCAGCTTTTTTACCACTCTCCCATTTCTTTGCTTTGCCCCTGGCTTTCCGTTCCTGCTTTGTCATAAAAAATTGAACAAGTTTTCACGTTCGCAGGCTGAGGAGAAAGTCAAGAGTGTCCTCTAAGTGGGTGGGGAAGAGGGGTGGCTGGGTGTGGAGACAGCGACGACAATACCGGAAATCCGTTTCATGACAAATGCGTCACATTGTCCTCCCTACCGCCACGGCACTCGGCTCCTGGCTTTCGGGGTGTTGAGTGTTAAGAAGAGAAAACGGCAGCTCCTAGGGGCTCTCATTCCTCTTCTCATTCCACCTCTCATTCCAACACTTTTTCTTCTTCGACTCCTCTGCTTCTTCCACTCAAAAAGCCGGCTATGAAATTCCTTCAATGCCAGCACGTGACTTTTAGGCTAAAGAAGAGAGACCAACTCCCGGAGAGACAGAGAGAGAGAGAGAGCGAGAGCAAGAGAGTTTCATTCACAAAGAGTACGACATTGACATTGGCGCGAGGCCGACAACAAAGCCGCAGCGCCTGCGCGAGACTCCTCTTACTGGAGAGTCCTTGCGGGACCTTTCTACGTGCCGGCAGCAGCATCATTTCGCATAGCATAACTCTGGCATTTTAATGAGAAATCCATATTTATGTTTGTTTGTTTTGCCAAAAAAAAAAGAGCAAAAAAAGAAAGAGGGCAGCATATGCGGCGAAAAGTGAAATTACTTTTGTGGCCGGAGAGACTGTTGCCCCCCGCGCTCCGTGCGGCCGGGAGTCCTTGTGCCAACGGAAAGGCATTTTGCTGTAATCATTTTTAATGGGGCAAAGCGTCTGCGGGTCTATAAGTAGTGCGGCAGCGACTGCGGCAGCATATGGCACGGTATGTGCCACAGATTTCTATAGAAATCATTTTGAACAGTAGATACGGAAGCAATTATTTGGGCTACTTTTTCGATAGTTTGGGTATCTTCTATAATTCGAGTAGACTTCATTGGAATTAATAATTGAAGATTTAGAGGAGAATTCCAATTTTTAATGTGCCAAAATCATTTTCCTGTCTGCTTGAAGGTTGGAAAATTGCATAATTTCTAGCCTAATTTAAACCTTGAACAAGACAATAAAAAAGTCGCTTCTTAACATTTCCTTAAGTTTTTCTTCTCCCTCAAGAGGATCTTTCCCATTTTGGTGTGGTATTTATTTGTTATTGGCCCGGCGGTGTTAAACCCCCAGGCGCTAGTCTAAAAATTAATGAAAACTCATTAAAATGCCCCTCTCCACGGAAATCTTTAGTAAAAGGCGAAAGATTTATTCGACACAATTGAAGAGAAACCTGAGTGATAACTATAGCTCCGAAACATAAGGCATTCTTCTCGATTGCAAACAGAACTAGTTGGGAATCACAAAGCAAAAGGATTAAG